ATGTGAGCCATGTACCTGTTCTCGCCATCGCCCTGCCCTTGCCCACCAGGACTCCCCTCAACCATGGACCACATCCCCTGGTCTGGCATGGAGTCGTAACCCATGCACATCATCTGACGGTCCTCCTCCCTTATCTTCTCCCAGCACCGCCTTGCATGCTCCACAACCAGCACGTGGTCCTTCACATCTGCATTGAAAATGGAGACACGTGCCACTACCACCAGGAACTGCCACTGCTCCACCATGCCTGCATGCATCCACCCCAAGGGCAGTCAATGGCCTGTCTGCAGTTTCGCTGCCATGGTCACCTTGCCATCAACTGTTGCCGGCTGCAGACATCCTGGGACCCGATTCACACGATATCCATACTTCTGAGGGGCCACATGCGGCTGCAACTGCCCCTCAGGGATGACATGGGCCGCAATGTCTATGGCAGCCAGAACGTCAGGGTTCAGGTTGAATGGGCCCCATACCAGCGTGGTGATTCCATCAGCAGTAGCGTCCTCCCCTCTGGCATGCGTGTATGTGTACCCATGGTCACCCGCGAACACTTTCCCCTCTGCCACCTCGAGCTCCACAGGATTCAGAAGAGGCGGCGAAAAACAACGAGCAGCAGGGGTGGGACAAACCATCGTCATCTTCTCCTGTTCAGTCACCTCCCTGTTCAGGTGCCTAGATGAGAAGCTGCCGTTTATATAACACGTGGTCCATACATTCCCCATGGCATCACGCATCGGCACCTTCATACAGCCACAAAGAAGCGGGGCGTCATGTGGCACCCAACCCCACCGTGGATCCCTTTTGGCATCAGTCAGTGGGCAAACCGAACTCGTTGCAGTGTCCAACCCGCCAATCACCCATGACTCTCCGCAGTCGACACTGTCGTACTCAAAATCATTGAGCCTCAACTCGCCCTTCGCGTCCAGAACATGCCACAGTTTCAACACATGCCGCGATTTGTCGTCAGCGCTCACCTCATCGTTCAATCTCAGCACTCTGTCGAAGATGATTGACAGAGTCACGCCCCTCCACAACGTCGCTTTGGGGGCGGGATATGGAACCCATTCCCCATTGGCTTTGAACGCGAAGCACGGCGCTCCTCCAACGATACCCGGTTGAAGACGACCGGGCACCCAATTGATGTCATAGGGGAAGAGAGTTCCTGCTGACGTCCTGACCACATTCTCGTCTGCAACAACACACCCTGCATCATTCTCACTGGCCTCACCATTCGTCATCATGTCTGCAGTCTGCTCACAAATTACCGCAAGCACCACTGCACAGTCTGTGGTGTTTGCTCCGACCGATATCCCTTCGTTGCTGACAACTGCGATACCCTTGACAATGTCTTGGGTCTCCATCGCGCATGTCTCCACGCCGTTGACATTCAATTGAATCGCAGCCTCCATCTTTTGCATGACATATCACATACATTTATGAGAAGCCCTAGCAGCGACGTGGCCCCCTCACCAGAGAGAGAGAGAGAGAGAGAGAGAGAGAGAGAGAGAGAGAGAGAGAGA